CACAATCACGAACACGTACACATTATTTGCACATGCTGGTGTTCCCTTTGTTCTGTCACTGTTTCACAATGATGGATGAGCCTGAATGTGAAGCACATACAGGGTCATTACGCGAGGCCCACTGGAGGTTCTTAACAGCCCGACACCTACGGGGAAATGGGCTCCACAATGGAACAAGGTAACACCATCAAACGGCAATGATGAAGGACGCACACACAGGCAACGCTGCAAACACATTAAACACCAAGATGAGCAGATGCAGGCACATCTGTCTGCAAGCAATACTATATGCACCGCCCTGTCTCTCTCTTACAACCACAGACACAATGAGACACAAACATGAACAGAGAACTCAATGCATGTAGCAGACTATACTGTAGACGGGTCAGGAATAATAATAATCAGTGTCAGTGACTTAAAAACACGCCTTATCAAAACATTAATGTATGGGTACATCAAATTAACGAAAAGGTCAGCTATCAACAAACTACATTGTGTCACTGGTTTGATCTTAAGCAGTCATTTAGCAGCTTACTGAGTTTATTTTAAGACTGAGTCATTTATTTTGGATTTGCATAGCTTAGACATTGACATCTTCTTCTACCATGAAAACGCAAAGTTCAACTCATGTGAAAATACTAAACACACTGCCAAGCAACTAAAAAACAAAAAAATTAAAAAAAACACTGTAATAGTTCACTCGACCCTCTTTAGCGCCGATGATGGCACACATACATTGTTTCAATAAGCTTATGCCAAGCTCATGTCACCATATTGATTTCCATCCAGAGTTGGATTAATTTTTCACTAAGATCTTGTATCGATGTTGGCATAAAGCGGCACACATCCCACAGACGCTGATTGAAGTTGAGGTTTGCGGCGAGTGTCAAGATGATTTCTCACACTCAACACGCTTTCACTGAATCCTGGAATATTTCCATGTTGTTTCCAGCTCATTACGTATATTCGGGTAGTCGGCTGACCACAGTTTTGGGGACACAACATTGCTGAATCTTGTTGTGTCCCAACTGAATCTTGAGCAGATCAGATCAGCACCCATACTAGACACGATGGGTGCATCACTTCATGTGGTCTAAGGAGCTTGGAAAGAAAAGCGTCTGGACTTCTTTAAGTTTCCTTGAAGACGTTTCACCTCTTATCCGAGAAGCTTCATCAATTCTAAGAGCAACTGGTGGAGAGTCACAGATTTTAAGCCCTATGCGGGTGTCCCCAAGAGAGTAATGGACCCCCTATGGATCCTCTACCTAGTCACACGAGCCAAGGTGTGAAAACGGGTGTGGGTCACAATCAGCCAAGGTTTCAGGTGAACCCACTGTGAAGCCTAGCCCCACCTTACCATCCGATTTAAAGAAGTCCAGATGCTTTTCTTTCCAAGATCCTTAAACTACGATGACGTGGATGACTGATAAACTTCATGTACCTCTTTTCTGCACCACTGTGGAATAATTGAAATCTAGACTCAGACCACATGACCTTTAGCCAGTGCTTCAGTGTCCAATCTTTGTGCGCACTAGCAAACACAAGAAGAAGAAAAAAAGCTTCTGTTTTCTAGGTAAATAGAAGGAGCATTGGGAAGCAAAGCATACAGCAGACAGAGAGGTTGCAAAGGCAGAGGAAAAAGCTTATAGGGAGTTGTAGAAGCCGGGTTAAGACAGTATGTATTGTAGTATGAGACGAGCATCAGGGGTGATGTGTAACATCACAAGATGATAGTGAGACCCGCTATGATGTATGGTTTGGAAACTATAGTACTGACAAAAAGACAGGAGGTGGAGCTGGAGGTGGCAGAGGTGAAGAGGCTAAGAGTTTTGTTCAGACCAGAATGGACAAGATTATTAATGAGTATAGCAGAGGGACAGCTCAGGTTGAGCAGTTTAGAGACAAAGTTAGAGGGGCAAGGCTGGTGGCTGAGGTTTGGACATGTACAGAGGAGGAATAGTGACTAGACTGGACAAAGGATGTTGGAGATGGAGCTGCCAGGCAGGAGGAAAAGAGGAAGATAACAGAGAAGGATAGATGAAGTGAAAGAGGACATGCAGAGGGCTGGTCTGACAGAAGAGGTTGCTAGGGTAGGAAGAGATGGAGGCAGATGATCCATTGTGGTAACCCCTAAAGGGAGAAGCCAAAGGAAGCAAAAGAAGATATAGAAGAAGAGGCCGTTTTAGCAATCTCCTTAGTGGTTTTCTTTGCTTGATGCATCTTTTATCTGAATGCTGCAGCCAAGTCCCTGGGCAGCTGGTTTTGTCCGTTTAAAAAATAATCCCATATAGATGACTTTGTAATCTTTTCCATAACCAGCGAGTGTGTGCTGCTTGGATGAAAGAGGACTGTTCACACACCTCCCCTCAATAAATACGCCAGTTGTTGGACTGACGACTGGATGTGGATAAAATGTTTTATTTATATTTGAAGACATGATGAAATTTTCCCTAACTTCAATACGTAATACTGCAGGTGGAGCACAAAACAGCAATTATAGAAGAACTACACGTTTAGACACACTCTGACTGTTTTTGTCCATTTTCTGATCCACACCACGTTTCACACAGCGAAGTTAAACTTTTTTATGCCGTCAATAAAAGATGGACCGATCACCTGCATGTCTGATGTCCACAGCTGTAGACTTTGGTGACACTACTGGGCTGAAAAAACAAATAAAAATCTATGATTACCAGTCAACTGAATTTAAAAACACAATTTTTCCCAACTCCCACAACCCTGAACTGAATAAGCAGAAGAAGATGGATACATGGAATTTCTCCACTATATTTTTTTAAGTTTAGAAGGTAAAAAAAACAAACTTTCTTTCTGGTGACACAAATTGAAAAGATTGAATAATAAAGATGCCCAGACTTAACTGGATGCCTGCTTCTAAAACAAGCTACAGTATATTTCTCACTGTGAAGAACAGATGGGAAATCGTTTTGTGTAACTTTATCAAAAAATTGTAACAAATAAATATAGATTTACTGAACTAAAGAAATTTTTATAACCTCTTTCAGCTGCTCGATTATTTGCAAGGGGTCCCCACAGTGGATAGATCCACATATTTAATTTGGCCCAGATTTTATCTACAGTACACAATATCTTCAAAAGCTTTAGATTTTTAGTTTGAAAGGGCCTGAAGGTCTCTGATGCCTGAGATCTTTCGGCCCTCAGGTGGCACTGCATTAAAAATATGCATGAGTATTCAAAGAAAAACCACTGCGTGGGCTCAGGAACACTTCCAGAACTCACAGTTCAGAGAATCAACCAAAAATGCAGGTTAAAGCTGTATTAAAGAAGTAGAAGCCATAAGTGAACACGATCCAAAAACACATCTTCTCTGGGCCAAAAGTCTTTTTCAAAAACATGGACATGCAACCTTTGGATTAAAGAGGAGCAGGTTTCTATCAAAGTTTACTAAAAAGCCAACATGTCTGATGGTATGGGGGTACATTATCTACAGGTTTTAGAGGAACGTGTGCTCCCATCCTGACGATGACTTGTTCAGGAAAGGCTTTGCATATTTAAGCAAAGCCTGCATTTAAGCAAACTACATACTGCATCTATTACAGCAGCATGGCTTCACAGTAGAAGAGTGTGGGTGCTTAACTGCCCAGTCTGCAGTCCACAATCCTCTCCAAAAATCCTTCAGCTGGTCCCCTCAGTTCCCAGATGTTTACAGGTTGTTATTAAAGAAGAGAAGATACTACAGTGATAAACACAGTCCTCTCCCATGCTGCTGTCATCAATTTTGAAATGAGTCAATATTTTTCTTCATTTTAAACATTTGATATGTTTTCTATGTCCTCCGATGTGAATAAAACTTGATTTATTAGATGAGCATTCTATTTTTATTTCCATTTTAAAGAACCCAACTTTTTCAGAACAGGGTTTGCATTTGCACAGTAGTTTCATTTCACATTAGTGTGTCGATCTTTACTGCGTTTGTCTTTTCCCTGCTCCCAGTCTCACTGTGAATAAACATCCTTGCATACAAGAGACAGGTGAAGCGAAATAACATTGAAATGGCGACATAAATCTAAAATAGCGTAGTTCTTCCTCAGTAATGTCAGCTCACTGGATCAGAGATTGCAGTTAAGTTAAAAAACTGAAGATTTACAAAAAAGGTGAAATATCTCATAACTGATATGATTCCTCCATGTTACGTACGTTACATCTTTCCCTCAGGAATGCAATGATGCTGACGCGTGGCGTAGTGAACAGAGACCAACCGAGAATTAAACTGAACAGACTGGACAGCTGTCAGCAAGAACCAATCCAGCTTTTTAATCAGGATTAGCCTGATGTCCTATCAAAACATCTGATTGGCGCATCCATACTGACTTTTGTTCATTTCACATTTTTGACCTAAAGCGGACACAAAACCACGTAGAAACGAAACAATAGCTTTAGAAAGAATTAACAAACATTTTATCCCAATTATCCATCTGCCTTTCTCAGCTGAACAGGAAAACAACAAATGATGTACGAATTAATATCCTGTCCTGAAGCGTGCTCTGAGTCCTTATTAAGTGAACATTAGGGTTTAAGTGGGGACAGCTGCTGCTGCGTCGTCTAACTGCCTCATAATCCTGCAACCACAGGTCACATCAGCCAGTACCACACATATGAGCCAGTGTGACTGGATTTGACATAATGTTCTAGAAATTCAATTGAGCCAATTTTATTATTTTCTCAATTTAGGAAGCACGTTGCTCCTGCAGCTATGCAGGAAATTACCTCAAATGAGAGCCGCACAAGGTTTAAGTGGGGACAATATGCTGATTATTAACTGGAAGCAGTTTTCTCTACACAGTAAATAGAAGAAATGAGCTACCTTCACCTCGTGTCACCTACAAGTCTTTAAATCAGAACAGCTAACATTTTTCAGGACATTTTAACATATCATATTTAGGCACATAAACAGGTGACTCTGCTTTCACCAGTGCCTGTTGCCCTTTCTCTGACTACTACTTGTTTCCCTCACTGCTTACCTCTTGAAATGGCTAAGCAGGGTGCCAACTAGCTCCCCGATGCGGCTCTCATTGGCAGGCACCATACCCTGCAGGCACACCACGAGATCCCTGCTGTCCTTGGTGTGGAACACAACCAGCTGGTCCTTCCCGGGGGACACGCTCAGCCCTGTCACCTGAGATACACAAATAGAGAGAGAAAGGACACACGCAGTTAAACACAGATAAACATGTACACAAAACAGACAGAGAAATACACAAACAAACACTCTGCACTGTTACAGTGTTGCAGTTGCATGTGAAAATCAGTGGAGTAATTTGGTTTCACCACAGCTTGCTTCACCAAGAAGTAAAGTGAAGAGAGCTGAAGGATTTGGACTGGTCAGTACAATAATTAATTACACTCACCTGCCACTTTACTAGGTACACCTGTTTAATGGCTCATAACACATTAATGTAGTCAGCCAATCACACAGCAGCAGCTGAACGTGTTTAGGCATTTCAGGATGACCTGTTGAAGTTCAAAGTGATCATCAGAATGGAAAGAAAGGTGTTTTATCATGATCGTTGATGCCAGATGGGCAGGGATTTTCCCACACAACCATCTCCAGGGTTTACAGAGAAAATGTCCTACTGATGCCAGAAAAAAATGGCTGGACTGCTTTGAGCTGACAGAAAGGCAGAACGAAAGGTCTCAATTTCTGCCTCATTTTGTGTAAGAAACTGAAAATATCTTCCCTTTTATCAACAGTTCAGGCTGGTGGTGGAGGTGTAATGGTGTGGGGGATATTTCCTCGGTACATTTTGTGCCCCTTAGCATTAATTAAACGCCACAGTCTGAGTATTGTTAACGACCATATCTATTGTGTTATGACCACTGTGTACCCATCCTTTGATGTAGGGCTGCCACGATTAGTCGACTAGTCACGATTACATCGATTATCATGTCGTTTGAAGCTTTGTAAGATCCCCAAAGACGCAGGAATAAGTAGTAGGATTTAAGAGTGTAATAACGGACTGAAACAGAAGATGGCAGCACTGCATGTACAAGGATGCCAGCTGCCGTTAAACCCCGAAGAAGAAGAAGCAGCTATGTCCCAGAATTCATAGCGCGGCCCAGCTCAGTTTCCAACAATGGCGGCAGCTAGTTAGTTTTAATATTACTCTTATTATTCTTTCTGGGTCACAAAATAAACGTTTAACATATTTTCAGGCGAGAATGTAGCCGTGTAAACTTCAAATATCTGCTCAGTTTATCAAGACACCACATATTTTCAAAAGCGCTCCGACGTTTTCGGAGACGTCTGTTACCCACCAGCTCGATAGCTAAGCGGGGTTCAAGGCTCGCTAGAGCCCGTGAGAACACCGGACTCCCGGCAAATCGTTTTCAAACCCACCGCCGTCTTTCGCTACTCAGGTTAAACATGATATATAAGTCACTTAGATAACTTAAAAATGTTATTGTTTGGCTGTTATATTTTAGATAGCAAGGTGCAGACGGCTGAGTTTATTAAACTTCACCAAAACAATCTGCAAATTTCATTAAAATTTAATAAACTCTCATCTTGTCTTTATTTTTAGTTAGCACAGACCTTAAACACTTAAAGCTGTAAGCTAATGATGGTTATATAAGAGCAGATGCTGCGGGTGCAATAAGCTGTACGTTTTATGTCCAATGGATGCATGATCTGACTAGTCGACTATCAAAATAATCGTTTGTTGCAGCCCTACTTTGATGGCCGCTTCCATCCATGATCTAAAACTGGTTTCTTGAACAGCAAGTTTAACCCACTCAAATCTGCCCATCAGTCACCAGACCTCAGTCCCAGAGAGTGTTTGAATGGGAGATTCGCATGGTGGATGTTTCGCCAACAAATCTGCAGAAACTGTGTGATGTCATCATATCAATATGAAGCAAACTGTCTGAGGAAAAGGCCAGTATATGTTAATGATCTTCTTCCGTTAGTCTTGTCTTTTTCCAATATGCACGTCTTTATCCTGTTAATTTCAACAGTGGGACAAGGCTGGGCATGTACTTTTATTCTTTAAACATTGTGTTTTCTTCATTTCAAAGGAAACTTTTAGCCGCTCGATCTTCTAGCAGAAATTGTGTAGGCTAAACATACTTTCCCGCCTTACTTTTCATTTATGATAGGATTGTACAAAATATTGCTGCTTGTTCCTGTTTTGATGTGTCCCCCAAAAGGATGCATATACAGGGTTATATGGTATATGGAAGAAAAGAAAAGAAATACTCTGTTTGAATCATGAAAAACCCCTTTTTGAATTTTCTCAGAATAAATAAGAAAAGATCATTACTATTACACTAAGGCAAATTGGTGATTTATCGACAAGATGTGATGAATTACTCGGACAAATATCAGTCAGTATCCGTCTCTGGTGTCAACTGGTGTACGGGATTTCTTCTGGTGGAGAACGTCATCAGCATCTGGAGTAATGCTTTATAGATTAGCCTCCCAAAGGGCCAGTCTAATTTTTCCAATTAGAGCCCCCGAACTAAAGCAGCTGGGTTAAAAGGAGACTCTGTTTTTCAGCTGGATTGTCTGCTTCACAGGTCTACAAAGCTGCAGGAAGAATCCAATATATTTACAGACAAACACTTTTCAGGAGAAAAAAGAAGACCTGAGCTTCATTTCTCATTAACTTCCCATTACTTTTCCCTTTATCCTATATCCACCCTCTATTTAGCCTCGTTTTCCTTTGTCTCCTTTGTCATCTCCCCTAGGGTTTTAGCCATTTTTCTTTGTCTTTCCAAGTTGAACTGAAGGCAGTGAATGTTGAGGAAATAGCCAGAGGGCAGCCAGTCAGCTACACTAATAACCATCACCAGAGAGCAATGCCGAGACAAAGTCCCCATCACAGGCAGACAAGCAGAGACAGGTTTTGACCGGCGGCAAATCAACCAGCTAGCTTATTTAGCCTCAACGCGATGCCCGTGATTTCAGAAACAAACACTTCACGTAATCACCGTGAATTAAAGCCTAAAGCCATGCCTCTCTGTATAGCAATCCACCCACAGTTAATTACAAAGAGCCGATTACATTTACATTTATATTAAAGGCTTAATTGATTGGAACGACAGTCGGTGTTCTAATGAGTTGGGTAATGATACATTCAGATTCGCTTCCTTGTCTCATTTTTTTCCTCTGTCTTGATTCCCCCAAATCAGTTTAACCAGAATATGGAATCTGTTAGAGCCATTCATCTGCCCCGCCATCTGCTCAATGACTCGTCTGTCATCCCTTTACATATTTAACAAAACTTGGAGATGTGGACATATTTTAGTCCTGCCCTCCAATTTGGGCGCTACACGCTCTGGATCTGCATTGACGATTACACTGTAGGATTTTCAGTGCAGTTGTTATGTAGACTACACGACTGTACAACTTTTGAGCCTTTTTAAAGATGTGATGAATCCCAGTTATTTCATAATATTTCATGTTCTCCTCATTGTTGTCTTGTTTGTTAATAATAACCGATTATCTTTAGGATATGGAATATTGCAAGAAATGTGAAACTGTGAGTGGAACCTTCACTCTTACACTTCATGTTATAGATGTTTCAATAGTTAATCAATTAAAAGTAAATATGAACACCTTCCTAGATTTATTATCTTCCAAAAATTTTCTGAAAACTTGAGATATATATAACCAAAACAACTGTTTTGGAAAATGACTTTCTCTGTCAAACATTACTGTCAGACATTAATATAAAAAGCCAAATGAGGTTTTGTACTCAGGATTCTTGTTAATATGCTTTTTTAAAAAAAAACAGAAATACACAATTAACAAATTAAAAAGAATTGCTTGCTTTGCCCATTTGGCGAATATGACTGGATGTATCTTCTGAGCAAACCCCTGGACAAAATCACAAAGGTCTTAATTGTGTGCCCTCAGGTCTGACATTCATTGGTCCACGGATGTCAAGAGGACAAAATGTGAACAGCAGGTTTTCCCAGTTTATTCTTTGGGGATCAAATAATTGGTTATATAACACATCCCAGAAGCCCAATTACGATGGAAAGGGTGGGTGCTCTGTGATTAAATGAATATAATAACTTAAGCTCCATAGCCATCCATGTTGCAAAAATGCAAGAGCATTCAAACTGCAGATGCACAAATTTACAGTATTATTACAATTTATTTTTCATCATATCCTGATCTTGGGAGTGCATAAGCTGGCACTTCTTGTGTTCAATGCTTTTGAGTTATTGGAGACAACTGGTCAAGAAAAACACCACGCACTACACAGCCCTATGTAGACTATTGAGCTGAGTGTGTAAATAAAGTATATGTGGTCACACTGCAGCTCTAGTTTGTGTTTGGTTGAGAGGTATGAGGAGAGCGGGAGCTCACTGCAAAGAAGGGAGGGAACGAGCGCACATACAGGAGGCCGATTTGTGCACATGCCTGAATGACACCAGACATCAGCTGATCTGCCCTACCGCTCGGTATCCATGACAACACCGTCTCCTGGGAAGTTGGCATGACAACAACGGCGGGAGAGAGAAGAGAGAGGGGAAAGTCAGCACTAGATAGGAAATGGGGGGGAGGAAGAAGACGAGGTAAAAAAGAATGAAAAAAAAAAGACTGCGAACAGAAGCAACGCGAGCCACCGATTCAGAATCGGTATTTCACCCTGAATAAAATAACTTCAACGTTATTTTGTTTAATTTCAATGAACGATAACAAGCCAATGATCTCACAGCATTAATTGGCATATAAATCCTCTGGCAGACAGTTGTTGGCTCTTCACTACAGTTTTGGCCATCTATCAGCCCAGTCTTTCCTTTTAGCTGCCCTGCAGAAGCAGTAGTAAATACACAGAATAGGGCAGCCAAGGGGATGCTGTGGTGTTAGCCTATCACTGCTAATCAACAATGAGCTAACTGCTCTCCCCTCTGTTTGACCTTGTCTGATCAATAGCACCAAGTCACACTGCTGTGGCTGTCTGCCCACATCTCTATCCGCTCCTCCTCACCCACCTTTCCTTCAGCTCTTGCACTTTTTCACCTTCACCAATTCACTCACCCTTGCAGTCTGACATTTATTACATAAAGGTCTTGTATGTTATGTACACACTGGGACAGTGATGTAACGATTAAAAAAAAAAAAAGATGAATGAAAGTTCGACACCTAAAGACCGTGTTATGTGT